AGCACCCACCCACACCCCAACCAATACTAAATTATATTATTTGTGTATGAGGCCACACTAATCAACCAGTTTAGAATGTACCACCATTATTAAAAACAAAAGTGCCTACTCCACTGGAATTAAATTTCTAGAGACTAACCATGCTTCAATTCTATAGATGATCATTTGAAAAAAAAAAAATGTGCCTCGTTGAAGACTAGAAAAAAAGCTTCCAAATTATACATGAACATCTAAAATGCTGCTTGCGCACAGACATATGATATCTCAGAAAGAGAATAAAAAATTTGAAAAAAGAAAATAGGAACCTTGTGTATCACACCAGATGAAATAGCAGATGCTGTAAGTGTCCCTCCACACTCCCACAATATGGAAAGATACCCACGATCATGAAAGTATTCCATAACTTCTCTAGGATTTAGGATATCAAACTCAACCACTTCCACTCCTTTGGATGCAAGTAATTTCTGGAAGCTCCTTCTGGCACCCCTTTGTGTCACAACAATGGTAGATACATCAGAAATGTCCCAAAGGTTTGCCTCCTCAGGAAGATTAAATGTTTGTGTCATTACAATCCGTGTGGGTGTATGCCCACCGCCATGCCTGGCTGTCAGACGTGGATCTAATTCAAATAGCAAATTAATACCACATAATCAGCAAAAAAATTACAAAGTCAAAAAGTAATGATCATACTTACTGTCCCTGCGTACAGTATTTCCTCCAACAATAATGGCATCGCTTCTACCCCGTAGTTCAAAAACTCGATTCCTTGATTTCTTGCTGCTTATCCATGCTGCATGCCCACTAGTAGTGGCAATTTTTCCTATTTGCACCCACGAAGACTATTGTCAGACTTCTTTACCAAAAGTTCAAGGTATCCGTGTTTAATACGAATCAAGTTAATCCATACAAGCACCCCCTTGGCTATTACTATTGACAACCCTTGAAATTTTTTTATCTGATTTCAACCCCTGAAATCACCCCGTCCATTACAGTCCATCCATTTGTCCATTAAATAACATGAGTTGCAAAAGTTTCATTACCAAATATCATAAAAAAATTGAAAAAAAAAAGCATCAAAATTAATAAACTCCACCAATATAATGCTAAAAACATCATTTACAACGATAAGATAAAATTATCATCAAGAAATCAACCCTCGATGGTTTAATGACTTTTTAGTATTCTTACAAGGAAAACATTGAGACTTGCATGTGATCTATAACAGCTAAGTTAGATGGAATATAACAGACAGGGTGTCAATAAAAAACATTATAGTTTGATGAAATCAGAAAAATAAAGATGTTAATAAAAATGGCTAATAGTTCAAGGGGGGTTCGCATGGTTTAACCTAAGAGTCAATAAGATCTCTATATCTCCATAATGCTTACCGTCAAGAGTCATAGCATACTTGAGAACAGAGAAGGGAACTCGGGAAGTTGCTCGATGAATTAGAGGAGCATTCACAAGTAGGCAAGATTTTCGAGCTTCCTGAGTACATAGTGTAAAGAAAGAGAGAATATATAAAGCATGTGCCACTAACTTTCACAAATGATTGTCAAATTTAAAGAAGTATGCCACATACAAAAATTAGTACCTAAAGCTAATGCATATGCATCTTTTCATAAAATTCAGAGCAAGCCCACTGTACCTCTTCAAGCTCTAATAATCCACCAGCCATTACGTGAATCAAGACACAAAAAACGAGCAACTCAATAACCTACTTGACATGGGGGTACATGTATTGACAATCTGTACTTATCCATCATATTACTCAATATGTTTGATGGATACCATGAATATTTGAAGTTGTTCTTGTTTGCCCTTCTTCTTTTTCTTTTTCTTTTTCTTTTTTTTTTTTGAGACAAATTATCTAGAGAAGAACCGATCAGTTTGTTCTCTTTTCACATCAAAATACAGTTAATATTGGCACTGATAGCAAAGAACTGTAAGCAATTAATCAAGAAACTAGGCTGAGTTCGTAGAGCTCCGTGGATGATTTTTTGGAAAAACCATGTTTGGACTTTATTGTTCAAATAAATTGTTGTCCCAAAGTTCGATAAACTGACCAAGTGAAATTTAATTTTTTTTCCTGCTTTACCGGAGTGAATTAATTCACCAGGAACTAGCTTGCTTCTGTGCCGTAAAACTGTGCTTTACAAAGCAATTGTTAGCAAAACCTAGAAAAAAAAATATATGGTTGGCAAATAGAATCAGCAAGGACCAACTTAGCAAATGACATAGTCAGTAAAGAAGCTGTAGTAAATTTGCAAAAGTAAGATGTACAGCTTCATTGTATCAGAGAATAAAATGGTGTTTACAGACAAACAAAAATCTTACCTCCATAATTTTACTCTTTAGATCCTCACCTACAACATCGACCTGCAAACCTTGACCTCTTAGTGAGCGTATAGCATTCCCATGAAGATGCTGCAAAGGATGTCTGATTCCAACCACAACTCTTGTAATTCCTGCCTAATCTACGCAAACGTCAATCAATCAACTACTAGGTCACAATGTATAAATCTAATTGTCACATAATAATTAATTATCATCATGATTATTAAATTGTTTTTATCTTACATATCAACAAACTAAACAATTAAAAATCCAAGTGAAAAACCTGAACCAGAGCAGAGACAGCGGATTGGTCACCATGGCAATCACCAGGTTCCATATTCAAATAAGCAGTGCTGCCTTTGCTAAAAACGCC